AAAAACTGATGTCCAGACAAAATAATATTTTTCTCTATTAGTGTAAGCTGTTATTTGCCTGTAATAGAGGTGTCTAAAATATCCCTTTCTGTTCAAAAAGGATAAAGCTCTAAAACCACTTGGCAGATAGGATTTCAAATTAGTTTTTGCAGGAAATTGGTAGTGTGTGGGACATTTATTGCCTCAATAACGTGTAGTTTTTAGGCATATGGAATGGGGTTAAAAATGAAAAACTCAGACTATATTGCTAAACATCACAGTAAATCCAAGGGATGTGTTTTAGACAAAATAGAATATTTTTATATGGTATTAAATATAAGACCATATCAAGACAACTGAGCTTTTAACCATTCGAGTGTTTGGGCAGGGGAAAGGAGAGTGGCCATATTGATACCTAGCTACCAAGTAAGAGCATGTTTTGAGACATTAAAACTAGATTTGGGGTGAGATAGAATAGGAAGGAGAGGCATACCTCCAAATCTTTATACTTTTATAACAAAAACAAAAGTGAATCTCCTACCAAGACCTAATTTCTAATTCTCAGAGCTATGGTTACTTACCCTGAGGCAAGAGGAGTCATTGGGAAATTTTGAATGAGGAAATTGCCTGTTTAGGTGTACATTTTGTATAGAGTGTTTGGGCATAGTCTAGTCCTGGTTGTGGCACTGTAGGTTAATGCACCTGACTGTAAGGTTGGCTTGCCTAGTAAGGTCAGTGATTCAAGCTCACCAACTACTCCTTGGAAACCCTCTGCAGGGTTTCTATGAGTCGGAACCGAATGATGACCCTAACCAATAACAACAAATCTGTATTGTGAAGCTTGAGTGAGGTGAGACCAGGGTAGAGGCTATTATTGTTTTGTTATTAAGCGCTGTCCAGTTGGTTCCAACTCAGTAACTCTGCCTAGGGTTTCCGAGGAGCAGCTGGTGGGTTTGAACTGCTGACCTTGTGGTTCACAGTCCAGTGCTGATCCTATAGCGCCAAGCCAAGAGTCCTATTATTGCTTTGTTGTTAGATGCTGCTGAGTTGGTTCCTACCCATAGCGACCCTATGTAGCGTTTCTGAGGAGCGGCTGGTGAGTTTGAACTGCTCACCTTGCCATTTAAGCCAACCTTGTGGTTGAGTGCTTATCATACAGTGTCACACCATGACTTTAGTCATGTCCAAAGAGTCCAGGTCTGAAGTAATCAGTGGCAAGGAGGATGGAGAATAGAACTGATTCAGGAGATACTTAGGAGGCAGAATTAATAATAGGGCTGAGTTTGCTAATGAGCCTTGCGTATATTCCAAGCACATTTTGCCAATTTGTGTCCATTGCTTTATTTTGTCCTCTCACAAAGTTGGGGGTCTTTCCATTGGGCAAACCAGGAAAGGATGCTTGGAGAAATTATGGTCCAAGCTCACACAGATAAGTGATAGTCTTGAAATTCACCAAGATCAACCTCCAAAGTCGTGTTCTTTATATCACACCACTAGTGTGTTTCTAAGGAACCTTAGTTACATAAGGTCAGCAGTTCAAATCTCCCAGGCGCTATGTAGGAGAAAGATGAGGCATTCGACTCCCCTACAGATTTACAGTCTCGGAAACCCTATTTAGGGTCACTATGCGTCAGAACAGAGTCAACAGCATACTGCCACCACAATATTACTGTACCATATTGCCATTTAAAGAATTGGGGCAGTGGAAACGGAAATGAAGAGAAAGGAGGACTCCTAGATAGAATGTGTCAGTAGTGGTATCAGTCATTGAGATGTAAGTACAGGAAGAGGTGAATTGCAAAGTGGGAGTTGAGTTTAGTTTTAAGCAATTTGTGTTTGAGGCTCTGTGAGCCAGCCATTGTTGTTAAGTGCCATCGAGTCATTTCCAACTCATCAAGACCCTGTATAGTGTTTCTGTGGAGCGACTGGTGGGTTTGAATCACCAACCTGCAGTTAGCAGTCCGGAACTTATCCTACAGCTCCATAACAGGACTCCAGCCATGTTTTTTGGGACTCATCAAGTGACGTTGAAGTGGTCCAGGCGAAACATGTGGAGGAGATTTAGTGATGGAAGCCTGGGGAATACCGACTTTCTGAGTGACCAAAGAAGACTGACAATGAAAGTCCTGAGAATTGAAAGAAAAACATGAATGTGATAGAGAAGTTCAAGGAACAAGGGACTTTAGGGAGAGTGGGAAATGCTGTAGAGATGTTCAGGAGGAGAGGAACTTTTTGAAAAACGTCCTTTTGGATTTGATTAGCAAGCAGTCATCAGTGACTCTGGAGAGAGTTGTTGGAAGGAAATAATTCTCTGAAAATCCTGAGCAGGTTCATATTTATTTTATGGTCATTATTCTGGTATGAAGCAAGTCATTTTTCACTTTTGACATGTATTTCTGTGATTTTGGTTGAAGCTAGTATTCTCTCCAGTGGTAATTGCCTCTGGAAAAAGGAAGTGGGTGGATACTCCTGGATTCACTGAATATTTTTTTTTGTCTTTTGAGTAAAGATACCTTTAAAGTTTTGAAACATAAGAACATATTACTTTCTCAAGAAACCTAATTGAAAATTCTTTCTTAGGGCGATAGAGAAATTGGCAGTTCCTTCTCCTGTCCTTACATGGTATTTGGCCAGCATTATTATTTAAATTAAGGAGCTCTGGTAGTATAGTGGTTAGGAATCTGGTTGTGAACTGCAAGGTCAGCAGTTCTAAACTATCAGCTGTTCACGGGAGAAAGATGGGGCTTTCTGCTCCCGTAAAGATTTACAGCCTCGGAAACCCTGTACAGGGTCGCTATGAGTCGGAACCGACTCCATGGCACATAACCACCACCATTATTTAAATTAGACTCCTAGTGTGGTGCTATAGGACCAGCGCTGGACTGTGAAAACCACAAGGTCAGCAGTTCAAACGCACCAGCTGCTCTTAAGAAACATTATGCAGGGTCAGTATGAGTTGGAACTGACTCACAGCACTTAACAACAACATTATTCAAATTAAAATATGTTTGTCGATGTGTCTGTCTCCCGCGTTAGGTTGCAGACTCTTGGAGAACAAGGACATTTTATTACCTGTGTCCTCAGTGCCTAGCTAACATAAGGGTGTGACATACATAGCTGATGATAGTTGTTGTTGTTGTTAAATGCTGTGTAGTCGTTCTGACCCATAGCGACCCCGTATAGGGTTTCCAAGGAGCTAATGGTGAGCTTGAACCACTGATATTGTAGTTCAAAGGGCTTTGCAGTCTGGTGCATTAACTCACAGGGCTATACCAGGACTGATGATTATTCTCTAATAAACATGGTCACACTATGTTTAAGAAAGATGTCCCTATAAAACACAGAATGAAGTCTAATCCAAATGGGTGGCATCATCCTTGCCTTTCATTCGTGTTGTTAGTGCCATCCAGTCAGTTCTGACTCAGCAACATAGTGACCCTGTATAGGGTTTCCTAGAAGTGGATGGTGAGTTTGAACCACCAACCTTGTGGTTCAAACAACATTGCAGTCCAATGCTTATCCTATAGTGCCCCTACAGGACTCCAATTTGTTTATGTTAGTATAACCAAAAAACTCACCAAAAAACTCACTGCCATTGAGTTGGTTCTGATTCTTTGTGACCCTGTGGAGTTTCTCAGACAAAATCTTTGCAGGGGCAGGCAGCCTCATTTTTCTTCTTTGGAACAGGTAGTGGGTGTGAACCACAATCTTTCGGTTAGCAGCCCAACGCCTAACTGGTTCAAATGACTTGTGTCTCCTGCAGTCCTTCTGCTAGGGGACCAGGGGCTGGTAACACTAATCCTTACTTCAGGTTCTCAGTGTAGCATGGCATAATTGCCTGCGTTTTGCACCAGTTCCCAAAGTTTCAGAGAACTACCACTTAGAACCCTGAAAATAATACATGTGTGGCTAACTTCCAGCAACACCAGCATAGACACCTAGAAGGTACTTATATAGATGAGGATAGGTTTTTTTGTTTATTGGTGTTTAAACTCTAAAAGACTCGCTGACATTTATTTGTCTTTTTTGTTATTGCCATAAGATATGGGTTTAAAAACTGGAGTTTAAGAATCCAAATTTACTTAACTGAGATTGGAGGAATCGCTAAGTCTTCTGCTCTGAGAACCTTCAAACCGTGAACTGAAATTATTCCCTGAAGTCATAAGTAAACTAAACAACTGTCTAGCTAAATTAGGAAAGAATGCTGCAGTGAGCATTGTTCATTTTTAAAGAATTATCTGTATGAGATCAGATTTTCAACAGTAATTCTAAAGCCTGGATGGAGCTGTTCAGGGGATAGTGAGACTGGCATCATTGGTAGTTGAACAGTATGGGCGGAGCAAGGGAGAATGGTGATACATGTGAAGAATGTAACTTATGTTATTGTACATGTAGAAACTGAGAATTGGGTGTATGTTCTGTGTATATTTTCACCAAAACTAAAAATAAATAAGATTCAGTTGCTGATATTTTATTTTATAGCTGGAATGTCTAATAAAGTAGCTTTTTTTTAAAAGATGGGCTTAATAAGGCTTTCACAGGAGATTTTTAATGAACTGTTGATATTTTGTTTGGAGCTAATATTCTAGGGCAAAACCCAATTTTAAATTTAAAATAAATGAAAACAAGTTGAAAAATTTGTCCAACTGGAATGAAATTTTATAGAATGATAGATTTACTGTTTATGAATGAATTATTAACATGATAAGGTAGAGCTAATACCTCTGATACATGTTTATGTGTATTACATGGTTTAGGTAATATTTTGTCTTTTTATCAATAGAAAATAATCTAAGAAAGTATTGTTTAATTTCTGTGAGAATTATCACCTAGGAATAAATTAAAAATAGAAGTAAAATTGAAAGAAATAAAAATTGCTTTCAGTGTTGTTTCTTTCTTTCTTTTTAGTTTTGTAGAAACTAGAGACTACTTCCTGGCCTAGTTTTGAGAGATTTAAATTTTTTAAAAACATTGTTAATATGTTATGATCTCATAATTCAACAGTATACATTTTACTGCAGGATAAATAAAGAAGAAATCTGGGAAGGAGGAAAGCATTGATAACAAATGTCTTAATAATGAGCAAATGTGGCAGGAAAAAATTTATTAAGACAAATCTAAGGTAGGTGGATATGTTTTTCTGTTGTTTTGTAAGTTCTACTTGGAGAGCTTAATGATGAAGTGATGTGTACATATGTACACATACATACATACTTTTATGTATGTGTATATAAATATTTTAATAACATATACCAAGTTATTCAGTTATTCATCTTCCACTATGCTAGGCACTGTAGGAACAAATACATTTGGCATATGATAAGTGCTAGCTTTTCTAGATAGAAAGTAAACCATATATAAGGATGTGGACAATTCAGTGGATTATTAGAATTAGAAAAATCCCTAGTCGTCTCTTCCTTTAGGCTGTATTTGTACCTAATTAGTAAAACAGAAGAAAATCTCTACCATGCTTTTGCAGAAATTCAAATAGAGTTATTTTCAAGTTTCCTTTAGTTACTGTCAGATATAGTCTATTTCATCAGTTGAATTTGAATTTTAAAGAAAAATTTTTTTATGACTGTAAAGTTATTTAAAAGCACAGACTAGAAACACCGTTAAATCTTTTCCTTTTGAGCTCTTTTTTTAGAAGATGTGAAAAAATTCTCCAAAGGTAATACAAGTGTTCTGCACTGTAATTTATCTTTACAAACTGGATACAACAAAGTTTTGAGAATTTTATTAGTTAATTGAATATTTTAATTATAATCAGAAAGCTGACTTTTCATTTAGATATTTTTGGCCTATTTTGCCATTTCCCTTCTTTCTACTAAGGAACCCTGGTGGTGCCCAAGGTTAGACATTGGGCTACTAATGTCAAGGTTGGCAGTTGAAACACATTAGCCACTTAGAGGGAGAATGATGAGGCTGTCTGCTCTTGTAAAGATTTTACTCTCAGAAACTCTTTATAGGTTTACTATGAGTCAGAATAGAGTCTTGGTGTGATGCTATAGGATGAACACTGAACTGTTAACTATATGTTTGGTGGTTGAAACCCACCAGTCACTCCTCTGAAACCCTGTACAGGGTTGCTATGAGTCAGAACTGACCGGGCAGCAATTAATGATGATGCTATGAGTGAGAGTGGACTTGATGGCAGTGGATTTTTGGATTTTCTTTTTAGTATCATATTTTTTGGGAACACTTTGCTTTGTACCAATGATATAATTCCTTTAAGATGTTTTCTTTTTCCTCTCATTTTCCCTCCTATTTCTAAATCTATCTATTCCTGTTATATGTTGTTGTTGTTGTTAAGTGCCATCGAGTCGGGTCCGACCCATAGCGACCCTGTACAGGGTTTCCGAGGGTGTAAATCTTTACGGGAGTAGAAAGCCTCATCTTTCTCCCGCGGAGCGGCTGGTAGTTTCGAACCGCTGACCTTAAGGTTCGCAGCCCGATTCGTAACCACTACGCTACCAGAGCTCCTATTCCTGTTATATATGTAAGCCTAAATAACTGTGATGATTAATTACCTCAGTATTTCTTATAATTGTTAATATAATGAGTATGTATATATTTGTTTCTTCTACATAATGTTATGGTCATGTAACTTTTGTTTGTACTGTACCATACACAAACAATTCTGAACTATTCTCTATCTTTCTTGTTTTTTGTGTTGTACTATGTAAACAATAACACTACTTTCATTCTTGATTATTTGAGGGAATTATTTGTAGGATGCAGATATTCTATTGTAATCCTAGAAAATAATGGTATAAGTCAACAAATATGATTTGATTGAATTACCCCAACAAAGTCCATCTTAGAAATGGATAGATCCTATTTAAAAAAAAAACAAAAACAGTAGTTATATTCACATGTTACTCAACTGAAACGTAATATACAGAACTGGGATAACTTTTGTATTAAAGAATAAGAAAATTTGTTAAGTAATATGGATTTCAGAAGAAATATTTAACCTTCATAAGCAAAGAATGTTGCTACTATTCTTAGTTGTTTACAAGTTCTGATTTGCTCATTTTAACATATTCTGATCTTTAGGTTGTGGAACCAGATGTCTGCCTGTGTTTTTCCAGCATTTAGTTTATAGTGCTTAATGAACTTGTGTGTGAATATATTTAAAATAATTTTCTTGTGTTTTTGTACTTAAATATTCTATAATTTATAATTGCTAATTCTTTCTCTTCTAATAAAAATGGTTTGAGATTCAATTGCTGTATAATTTGAAAATTATTCTATTATCATCTATAACCATGTTTGATATTTGACTTACAGAAAGTGAGATTTTGGGAGAAGAATTTTATGATGTATGTCTTCTATCTTAATAGGCATATATATATTAGTGAACATTGCAGGACAAAAATGGATCTTTCTCTTATATTTTATTTATTAAATCTGTCTGGAGCAGTTGAAGTAAATCCCATACTTTATGTATTACAAAGATGAGTTTTCTAATTCAGGGACTCTTTCGTAAGTCGAGGGAAATCATGATATTTTAGTTTTTGATTACTCCTTCTCAACATACCCACTGCCATCGAGTCAGTTCCAACTCCTAGTGACCTCAGAGGGTTTATGAGGTGGTAAGTCTTTACAGGAGCCTCACTGTTCTCCTGAGCAGCTGGTGAGTTAGAACCACCGCCAAGTCAACCCAACTGTGCAATTATCAGCCCAAAGCTTAATGCAGAGTGCTCCGATGGGATCATTCCCACTTTATGTGCACATTTATTCTCCTACCTGCTCCATTCTCTTATATGCATAGTATGAGAAAGAAATGCCAGTTAGACACTTCTGTCAAAATTTGAAAATGAGCTGCCTTACATGTGTTGATACTGTGAGCATATACAGCTAAGTTTTGAATTTATCCTAAATTAAACACTCAAATGTTGGTTGAATATCTTTTGCCCTGAGTCGTGTCCTGCGGCGGGATTTCATTGTTCAGGAGGTTGTTCTAGAGAGCAGTTGGAGAGAGACACGTATAATAAACTTGTCTGTAGATATCAATAAATATTATTTTAGATTGATAGTGATGACCTTAGTATTCTATAGATGACTTTTTACCCTCAAACAAACTGATTTTAGTGTGTAAGTTGTACAGAATGACATGTACTGAGCACAATATTTGTCACTCTCCTAGACTATAGACTGCCACATCTTTCTCTCTTGGAGTGGCTGGTGAGGGGTTAATCTGAGTGCTTTATGCCATCAGGGCTTCTTAAGAGCACATCATTATTGTAATATGATGTCTGTTGTTGTTAAGTGCCATCAGGTTGGATCCAACTCAGAGCGACCCTGTATAGGGTTTCCAAGAAGCAGCTGGTAGGGTTGACCTGCTGACCTTATGGCTCGCAGTCCAGTGCTGAGCCTATAGCGCCACACCAGGAATCCCACAAATTGATTGCCACCTGGCTGTGGAAGGAGCAATGGAGTGAGTCATCGTCAGAAAACCCTTTTCAGGCCTTGTCGTGCTACCTATTATGTGCCCCTTGGTGGTGGTAGTTGTATACCCTTGAGTCTGTTCTGACTATAGCAGTCCTCTATAGGGTTTCTGAGGTGGTAAATCTTTACAGGAACAGAAAGCTCCATCTTTCTACCTTAGAGCGGCTGGTAGATTTGAACAGCTGACCATGCAGTTAGCAACCCAACACATAACCCACTATGCTACCAGGGTTCCTTTGTGCCCTTTAGAGCCTCATTTTTATCCTTGTGGTAATATCCAAGAGGTAGATGATCTTACAGATAAGTTGGTTAGTTTATTTAACACTTCGGTGGGTTCTATACTAGGCACTGGGATTATAGAAATTTAAGGTGTATTCTCTATCCTTGAGTTGCTCACAGTAGATGGTATCACTACTTTATGAATAAATGTATGTGGTAGTAGGGCTACGGTATCAGCAGTATTACCTATAATTAAGGAACTCAGAAGAGAAGAATTCTGCCCAAGGCTATTAGGATATGTTTACAAAGATGCTGTCCTTTGAACCAGGCCCTGAAAAACTAGTAGGAATTTGCATATTGGACTTGGGAAGAAAGGTTTGGGGACCTACTTTTGAAAAATTTGTTACTGAAAACCCCGTGGATCAGAGTTCTAGTTGAACACACATGGGCACACCATGAGTCAGAATCCACTCAACACCAAGTGGTTGCAAAGTTGTTAAACATTAAAAGTAGTAGACATTATCACATGGTATACTCAGTAAATGGTAATTATAGTTATGATAAAGAAGCCCTGGGGGCATTGTGGGCTAGGTTGTTGACTGCTAGCCGCAAGGCCAGCGGTTTAAATCTACCAGCCGTTCTGAAGGAGAAAGATGAGGCTGTCTGCTCTTGTTAAGATTTACAGTGTCGGAAACCCTACATAGGGTCCCAGTGATTTGGAATCGACTCTATGACAGTGAGTTTTTTGTTTTGATACAGCTATGGTTACTACTTTAGAAATTTAGATTTTGTCCTATTTTAGTAGGGAGCCACTGAAGACTCTTACGTGGAGAAGTATTTTAAGCAGAGAGATTCATGTTTTAGATAAACTTGGGCATGGATTGCAGTTGTTGTTGTTATGTTGGTTCCGACTCATTGCGACCCTGTACAGGGTTTCTGAGGCTGTAAGTATTTACGGGATCAGAAAGCCTCACCTTTCTCCCGCAGAACAGCTGGTAGTTTCGAACTGTTGACCCTGAGGTTCGCAGCCCGATTCGTAACCAGTAGAGAGACTGTAATGATTGCAATGGAAATAGAGAGAAGGGGACTGAATTGCTGTTTAGAAGGTAGACTTATCACACTTGGTGATGATGGATATAGTGAAAAATGGGGTTGTTTCAGCATAACATTTGGGTAACTTGATTGAGGAGGGGTGAAGGATTCCCATTTCCTTACATAGAACTCAGGAGACAGGTCCTGTTGGTCGGGGAAGAAAAGAAGTGTAGTTTGGGGGCATTATGAGTTTGAGATATTGTAGGACATCTATTTGGCGAGGTTAAATAAGCAACTGGACATATGGTTTTGGAATTCAAAACATTTTGGACTAGAGATCTTGATTTGAGACTCATGGGCTTGTAGATTGTATTTGAATACAGAAAAACATGCTATCATACAGGGTGTGAGAGTTGA